AGGCTAAGGAACAGGGTATACATAGAACGCTACATCAACAGATTGAAATAATCAGACATCACACCCCAATAAACAAAAGTAAATAAGCAAAGACAATTAACAGAGAAGTATACTAGGAAATACTGCAGCACACATTAGCTTTATCGACAAATAATGAGATTTTACACAATTGAGAAACCATACAGCAATGGACACAAAGGGGGTCAGGGTTTGATGCACTCTTAGGTCTTTAGAAAATGGAAATAACCAGTGTATGAGAAATGTAACTTATCTAATTTAGAGTTTTAAGAATGTATCAAAAGGGATTGTGACTTTGAAAAGCTAGGCTAGCTTCAGAATAATATTTTTATAGTGTAAACAGGCAAATCTGGCTTTGAATGTAGCTTTGGTCTACTGCTTCTAGATCCCATTTATTAACACCACAAAATAAATATCTTCAGCAAGAAATCCCTCTTAAAGGTAGGGTAGGTAAGTTTGAGAAACCGGCTCGAGATCGCTAGAATTTGAAAATACACAACCGGAGAAAATCTGCCACTTCCTTATAGAGCCCCTCCTCCAACACACACGAACGTGCACATGACCAATGAGGGCACGAGATAAGTTTGTGCACAGATGGAAGGCTGACAGGCAGGTAGGCCATCCAGTTATTTTAACCCGGGCCGGCTAAAATGATTGGTCGTACTTTTTACAGTACTACGGCTTCCACAGATGAAATTTTGTTATGGATTTTTTGTCAAAGCACTTAAGATATTCATTGCTATCGGGATGTTAAGAGCATTCCATGGAATATAACAAAAAGTGTATCTCGAGCCGGTTTCTCAAACTTACCTACCCCACCTTTAAAGTCATATGTGAAAAGCTACATTTTTCAGTTATTACAAGAAATACCAAAGATCTTAAAGGGCAGCACTTAAAGAGGATTTAAAGTGGGGCTTTACACAAATTAGAGTAGGAAAACAATCGCATTTTAATCAGATTTGGTTCTTAAATCCTTACATTGTAATCGCCTGACTCCCTCTATCAGTGATGGCATCAAACCTTGACCACCTCACCCTGAATTCCCCCAAAGGAATAGCCAGCAAAAGGAGCAGATCTCCTCAAATAAGAGAAAAAAAAACATACACTCTCATCCGAAAGGGCTTTAAGAATGCTTGTGTGGCTAGATTATGAATTTTCTGGTGACAGAGAGAACATCAGATCATGGTTAATCCCCCTGATCCTCACCACTTTGTACTTTGGGAGGCAGCTGCAACTATGCCAACGGTTTATATTAAACGAGAGCGTTGTCTGTTCAGTTCTTGTCACCTTAGAGGAGTTTGTGTGAAGAATATTGTAGCACTGTGAGCCATCATGCTCTCAGGAATGTTTCACCGTGAGCAAAGCTGGAAGTTTGAGTGTATTTTGTCAGAGAATGCCAGGCTTCATCCAGAGTGAGACACTGCCTTGTTTCTAATTGTATTGTCACCTTTGGAGGTATTGTTGGTTATTTGGAAGGCAGTACTCTAACAGTAAAGTCGCTAGCTGGGAAGGCTATGTTCACCTCAACAACACAAAAAACATTTTTTACACTCTACTTAAGCACATTTTGGTAATTGTAAGGTCACTCGATCTAAGTTATAGCTCACATTTCTGATTCCCCTTTTTTATAAAACACAAAACATTGGTTATGTGAAACAGAGTAATAGACAAACGTATCATACACATCAAGTCATTTTTCCACAACGTCGCGCATATAGGGACTCCTTTAAATTGGGTTTCATTTGAGAAAATAGCGATTATTTGATATCCCCCCCCAATAATGAGGATCGTGGTAATTTTACATTATTTCTCTCACATGGGATTTTGCTGGATGTATAATTATTGCATCATGCATGGCCACTAACGGTGTAGAAATGAAATGAATGGCCACCCACTGAGAAAGATCTAAAGCCATTTCAGATGCCGCAGGTCACATATTACATTCATTTTGTGCGGGTGACCATGGTTTTAAAGGTATAGTTGGTACATTTTTGATTAATTCATTTTCTTTTTTTACAGGTCATTCTATTCCATGGCACGCTAATTTAAAAACAAACCTTTTAGATTACAAATTCATTTTCATACAACACCAATAAAGCTACAACATCGACAATGCAAAAGAACAAAAACTGGCTTAACATTTTGGAGAGGTTAGATAATTATTAACAGGGCCAAGTGCGAGGAGAAATGAAGGTAGATTATAAAGAAATTCACTGTGCTGTATTAAGTATGTTAAATCCTCCTGTTGGGGGTAAAACGACATGCTGTCCAAATCATTTGTAAAAAAAAATTAGACCAGGAGTTATTGCCTGTCTGCTCTAGCAACGCTGTGGAGGATTGCTTGTACTCTACTGTGCTGCACATGATCGATCTGTAGAATTCTTTGGTGGGAAGAGCGAAAAATAAAAAAACAAAGTCCTAGGGTGACAATGCTATCCCTCTGCTGACAGGAGAGGGGACCGGACACAGCAGTGTAGCATGAGTAACGCCAAATTCCCTCAAACGTGGAATGTTTCAGTAGTCTGTTTCATAATAACAGAAAATATTTCAATGGAAAATCATCTCCCTTATGCGTGTGTGCTTGAGCTTGAGGAAATAAAGTAGATCAAATCAAAAGAAAAACAACAGAACAGAAAATAATGAAGTAACCAGCAACGTACTTAAATCACATCTTTGACAACACGGAAGTGAAGGGGAGTGTGGGGGTAAAAAGTACCAGGATGACACTCTGGGGCCCGTCAAAAGATTTGTTTGAAAGAGATTTAAGTATTTCGAACCTAGTTGTGGTAGTGTGGCAATCTATCTACAGTATAAGGGCCCCATTGGATTATCATCAACTCCACACTTACTATCACTAGCAGTGTTGCAACACTTTAACACAGGTGCACCCACCTCCACTTAATACTACATTTCACTGTACATCAACCCCCAGGTTACAAAATAGAAATGACATATAATAAAAACACACACACTCTTGATAAAACATCCACAAGAATTATTGCAACAATCTCTAAAAAATAAACACAACATGTACTACAGCCATGTCAAAAAAAGAGTTCAAGATAATGTTAAGTTAAAAAACAACAACAACAACAAAATAATCACTTCAAATGCAAGTACTATGGCATACCATGGAGGAAGGGGGAGGGGAAGGCTTTCACTAACCCACCAGCGGTACTGATGTGCCTATACGAGGACAAATGAACAAGGAGATTTTTGTATCATTGGCTACATGGGGGAACAAAATGAAATGAAGCAGCGAACACACAAAGCCCTATTGGTTCTCTAAGTGTTCCGGTATCCCGTTTCGGCTGGCGTGGTGATGTCTGCGGTGTACCTGGTTCGAAGACAAATGGACAGTGGCGACAAAATCGTCCACAAGGTGCCCTTCCAGGTGTATGCTGTGGCATTTCCCTTCTGTTCTGTTCCTGCATTTTTTTTTGTAGATGCTACCCAAACCTCAAGCGCGACAAATAACTTCCAATTATCTTTGAAGGATTCACGTCAGAAAGTGTGCATTCAGGTAAAGTAGTGCCCTCCCTTTTGGGCTCCTACCGACGACCCGGACTCAGTGTTTCTATCAACCTGCTCAGTGCCAACTTGCTACCATTTTAGTCCCATTTAAGATAGAGAGTTTCGCCCTGCCCTCCACAGTCCCTACCTAAACTGACCCTATGCTTTCAAACAGCCGCCTCACTCGTGCCTACACAGTATCTCTCTCGAACAACCCTCGATACTCTGCCTCTTCTCTGCAGACCCATCCCTTCCGCCTCACAGAACCCCCCTTCATGGCAACAATCACTTCCTGTCAGGCCCTTCTCTCGGACTAGCTTTTATCCTTAAAAAAAGCAACCTCTACTGTGTCTCAAACATTGTACTGTAACTCAATCCCTGTTCTTGAAAACTGAGCTAATAACTCACGCTGCATGAATTCCCTTAAAAAACAACAAATATATTCCAAACTAAAGCCACTTTTTGGGTGATAGAGGTTTACATCTACAGCTATACTGTACATTTTCATATTTACACTAATATCCAGAGCACAATGTAACAAGAATTTATCTATGACTTTGGTAAGTACCCCAGGCAAGTTATCTCATGCACACATAATAAAAATGTCAGCGTGATATCTGACGTTAATCTTCATCATCTAACAGTATGCTGTCATTTTAGGACGAGAAACAGCAAGGGCTAAGCCTACACCTGGAAGAGAGCTACAACTGCCCCGACTAGCATGTCAAACCAGGGAAACATGTCGTTCTAAGTATAGCTAGAGTCTCTTGTGGCTTTCAGGATCCAAGCCAAGTAAACTGTGTCGGTATATCTGTAAGGCACTACGAGGGAACAATGGTCAAAAACCTAAAGACTGAAGAGAGTTTTAAGGAGGTGGATTTACACACGCATGGCTGACAGTAGCACACACAGACAATCACGTTGTACATGCCTATGTTATTATAACCACTTTGTGCAATCACATTGAAAAAAGAGGAACAAATAAATCTATTGGTATCTGGAAAAAAAAGTCAACTGGTGCAGACTGCTACATTCTAAGAACGGGGCCCAGCTAAGACACCTAGCAAAAAAAACTAAGTATCGTCATAAAGGTGAAACATAAACGAAAGAAATATCTATAAATACACTAAAAAGTTTGTTGTCTTCTGTTGGTTATATTTCCAGAAACCTCCTCGGCTGGAGAAGGTGGTGGTGAAGGGGGGGGGGAGTTGCCTCTCTTTTCTCCCCACACCATGAATGATTTGGAAATATAAAGACAGTTCAAGGCCATCAATCTTGTTTTCTTTGTAGAGCAGCAGGTTTCCGTATTTCACCTTCTCCCAATTTTTCTTGGGATTCCGAACTTCCAGTCAGTAACCCCTGTTCAACAGTCACTCCCCGAATTAATGAGGGGGGGGGGGAAATAAAAAAACAGAAAACCTCCACTGTCCCAAAAGGCCTGTTTCTAAATTCCCTGTAAAACTAAAGAAACATTACTAGTAAAGTAAAAAGCGAATAATTGAAAAATAAATGCAAAAACTGGCCCTTTCAGGAGAACAAAAATTGATGAATGACCCCTCTGAAATTCATCCCCATCTTTCCCTTCTAGAGAGGCTGTGAATCTTTTTCTCTCTGTCGTTATATCTTCAAGTTATATGTGACAGTTTCATGAGGATTGCATGTTCCTCTGTCTCTGTTTTATGTCTGAGGTCGAGGAGAGGATGGGGCTCAGGGCGGGTGGGTTTCGTGGGGGGGGGGGGGGGCAGCAGCAGCAGCAGTGCTGGGTCAGGCTCTCCAGTGTCGGTCAGTGTGTTCTCTAGAGGTAAGGGTACTGGTTGACCTTGGTGGGGCTCAGCGGGTATCCAGTGTAGACAGTGGAGGCGGGCGAAGCGCTGATGTAGGCCTGGTGGGCGAACTGGGCCTGGTACTGGCTGTGGTGCAGGGTGGGGGAGGGCAGCACCCGGTGGCCCATGCTGACCGGGACCTGGTGGATGATGCTGGGGGGGTAGCTTCCGTGCTGGACCGCGTGGCGCACCGAGCCCTGCGACGCCACCAGGTGGGCCACGGTGCCGGTGGAGCCCAGAGTGGCGGGGGTGGTGTAGGCATAGAGGTGGGGCTGGTTGGGCAGGTGGGTGGCAGCCAGGTGCGGGTGGACATTGGCCACGTGGGAGGGGCTGTTGTGATGGAAGTACTGGGCCTGGGTGGAGATGGTGGGGGTGATGTAGGCCTGCTGCCGCCGATGGCCGTTTCGCTCGGCTACCATATGCTGCTGCGCCTGGAAGTGGGGGGACAGAAAGGCTGAATGTCAGTTTTATTGCTCCTGGAGTTTTTGTTATTCTCATAGTCCAAATGTGATTTCTTAAATGTTCCCTATTATACTGTTTTTCATTAATATATTATAGGTCTCAGATATATACAAAACATGTCTCCGAAGTGTTTGGCTCAAAATACCAAACAGATCATGCATTGTAGCATCCCATAATCCCCTCTGTTTCAGCCCTGTTTCAAAAATGCTGATTCTCTGTCTGTTACTTTAGATGAAAATAAGGAGCCACTCCCCACGCCCCTCTGCGAGATATTTGGTTAAAAATTGTGCTCTAGGAGGAGATTCAGGTGATAAGGTGGGCGGGGGTTACCTTAGTTGGTTATTGGCTAATGGTTAATGGCTAATGGTTAAGCCAAAAAATCGGTATGAAATCATAAAGTGGCCAAAATCTGATCAGCTCATTTTCAGACAGGTTTTTCATATAAAAGGATCAGGACAAAAAGAGAGATAATATTTTTTCCTGAAACTTTCAGAATATTTTTACACAGAGGGGACACATGGTTATGTATAACAGACATGAAAAAGTGGATTTTGCATAATAGGTCCCCTTTAAAGGAATAGTTGGGATGTGTTGAAGAGAGGTTGTATGAGGTACACCACCTGTTTGGAGTAAAAGATAACCCCTCATCATAACATCCAAACTTTGCCTTAAAACACTTCAAAAAATCGATTGGATAATGTCACAAATGACTTATGAACCTCAAGGAATATTTTGACATATTGATCAATTATCAATTTCATCTCTTTTTCTTGTTATCTATGGACAGAGCCAGGCTACCTGATTGCCCCAGTTTCCAGTCTTAATGCTAAGCTAAGCTATCTTTTGGTAGCCTAACGTACAGACATGAGGTTGGTATCGTTCTTTTCATCTAACAGAACATGAAATCACTAAGTAAGCTACATATTTTAACAATAAATGTTATTCTTCTAAAACATGATCCTAAAATATTTAAGGTTTTGTCCACACATATCAAAATGCAGACACTGATATGACATGTGTCACCATACCTGACTGAGATTGAGAGGCTGCTGCTGGAGGGGGTGTGGCCCTGAGCGTTGCTGCCGATAGGCCACGCCCCCTGGTATGCCCCCTGGTAGGTGATGATTGCCAGACAGCACTCCATTGGAGGATTTGAATTTATAAGCTGTATTCTGATGGTTCATTAAATCTGCAAGGGAGAGGATATGGTTATTTGGGAAGAAGTAACAATGTAATAATGTAATGTATTAAGCTGTATTTTAGGTCAGGAAGGAACCTGTCGTCACAGTCCTCTACCTGGCATCAGGCGCTCACACTCATTGGGGACCTCGCTGTTCTGCGTCTTGAGAGGAGGAATGATGATGGTGCGGGGGTTCCCGTTGTTGTAGTTGTCCAGGATGGTGCTCTTTGTGTCGTAGCTGTTGTTGTTGGGGTGTCTGGACTCCACAGTGTACGGGCTGTTGCTGGAACAGTCAGAGTCGGGCGAATCGTGGACCGTCACGCAACTGATGACATTCTTTCGCTGCTTTGTAGATGAACTGGAGGAAACACAAGTGGAAAGTTATTAAGACATTTCTTTCAGGGAATCAGATAAACTCAAGGGACATCAATATGATGATATCATATGTCCTGATCAGATTTGACATCCCCTCTGCAGTGCTGTGTACATACCCTGAACTACACAATTTGTGTCAAAACTTGTTTTTTATCTCCCTTTTGCTAGCTGGTTTTCTTGTACTTCCCTCTCTTTGCATTCTTATTTTGTGTTTCTCATTGCAGCGTATCACGGCATAAAGGAGTTGTCCTTTGCACATCTCTTCTTTCCTGTTATCAGATGACTGGATGGTTATAAAATTGATTTGACCATCGCTCGCAAAGTACCGCTGCCACAGAAATTACAACTGGCCTTGGATGGCCCTGTTAACATTTTACGACTCCAGATTAAATTACTTTTATAGGCGCACAGTGATCTGATACTAGAAACCAGAGATGTGTCATTGAAAATGTTTTATATCATACACAGCCTTAGAAATCATATATGACCCCCGGAACGATACAAGAAAAGAGGATAGAAAGTGGGCTTCTCAGTTTCACTGGTAATTGTGAAAGCAAAGTAAGTCAAAGCAGACACATTTTAAAAGGTCTCGTTTATCTATTTCTTGGCTGACAAACCTGTTCAATGGCATTTCACAGTAACCAGCATTAGTATTCCGAATGATATACGAACTCCTTCACATTTTCCAATAAGCAAAGACCAAGAACTGACCTTTTCTTTTGTTTGTGGTCATCTTCCTCATCTGTGTCGCTGCTGATGGTGATGATGCTGACTGCAGGGCTGGGCGTGTCGGGGATGATGATGGTCTGTCTGGGGACATGGTGCTGGTGCTGATGGTCGCGGGTGGTGCTGGAAGCCTGCTCTGCTTCGTTGGACCCCCACCCACCGCCCTGCGGGGGCGGGCAGTTGGAGGCCGAGCCGTTCTGTAGCACAGCGCAGCGTGGAGGGCGTGTTCTCCTTCACCCGCTTGGAGCGCTGCGGGGACAGCACCGCCTGAGAGGACGACACCTCGTAGGCCGACATGTTCCTACAAAAAGACAGATAATAGTGTTAATGTAAGAAATCAAAAGGTGTCAGACATTGTGTTGTGTTGCATGTTAATGGGGAACTAGCTGGGTGTACAGTGCACAGGGCCCAAAGTGTCAGGGGCCTCCACCCACATAATGATCCTCAAAGAGACAAGTACCAACCAGGAAGCAATAAAGAAACAGTACATGACTACAAAAAGACACAAATAGACTGCAAAATGACCAAAACAACAAAAAATAAGATGCAAAACGGGACTAAAAGCAACTAGAAACAACTTTTAAACAACTAGGAAAGACCCCATGCAACTACAAAGAGACTCAAAATAGCTTCATAGAATTTCAAAGCAACTACAAAGAGACTGAAACTGACTACAAAAGACCCAATGCCACTTGAATCACTTTAAAGAGACAAACTGCAACAACATAGAGTTTCAAAATAACTACAAATAGACTACAAAGATACACAGAGCAACAACAAAGATAACATAACTGCAAAGAAACAAACAATGACCAAAATGACCAAAAAAAGAGACTAAACAGCTATGAATTCTGTGTGTCCTGCTCTTATGTACAGTAGTAAAGGTGGAGGGGCCTTCTGTTTATCTAAGCCCAGAGGCCCATTGTCTCATAATCTGATCTGTGTATGATGGTTTACTATAACTCATCTGAGTGTGAGAGTACCTGGCAGACATCTGGTGCTGTTTGTTCTTTTTGGAAGAGGAGTTGTTATTGGTTGAGGGCTGCCTCATAACGTGTGCCACTCCCACATTGAGCGTCTGGTTGGATGGGAGCGTGACGTGGCCGGCCAACAACGCTGGCTGCTGCATGATGGGATTATAATGGCCGCCATGAGGATGGGGATTCCTGTAACATAACACAGTTTAATGTTAGCACAACAGTAGGACCTGCAAGTGCAGCAACACAGGATGAAATGCTGCAAAACACATTCATGTATGTAAAGGATAGCCAAACCCAACAGTGGTGAGGTAAAATGAATGAAGACATGGGAGAGTATTTCCCAGAGAAGCCAGCGGGTGGCAGCATCTAACTCTTCTAAGGAGGACTCAAAGGAAGAGAGGGAAGAAGTGAGGGAGAGAGGGAGGGCAGAGGAGCTGACACCAGCAGCTGTGGAGCGATAGCTCTGCAGAGGAAGTGCGACACTTTCCCGATCGTCTCTCTGAGGACAACAGAGCTGCCACTGGACAGGGAGGAGACGGGGGGAGACGGGGAGGTGGGTGTCTGGTCACAGATGGACAGCTCCCGAATGAATCTGTGCATACATGGCCCCAGCTGTCCTCCGCATACACATTATATACCTGCAGCCACCTTATCTCCCGGCAGATCGCCATCTATCCATCCATTTATCGAGTCATCGCAGTGACAGGCTCTCCTAGACATGATGTCTCGTGTACACATATCCCGTCTCCCTGAGGTAAATCTGCTCTTATGAAAGCGCCAGTATACGCGAAGGGGAATGTGATTCATAGAAGATAAAGGACAAGCTGTCAGGGAGTTACAGGCTCCTCGGTCAATCAGTCTTACGCCATACCATCTTCCTATAGCACATCCTGGCCTATAAAAGCCATAAAACTACTGCTGGCCTTTGAAATCAATTTATCTGAACTGACCTACAGACTTGCCCCTGATGTTATGTGTATAAACTTGATTTGGCAAAGTGCTTTCATTTTGAAGCTTTAGAGTGATACATGTCAACCTATTAGATTTATTTATCCATCTCAAGAGGAAAGGTGGATTTGGAAACTGTAGGCCACAATATTCAGACATCAATAGAGGCTGGCTGGGAGCGGTGGAAAGAAAGAAAGAAAAGACGTGAAATGAGTGCTGTTCACCTCCAGTTGGCGAGAGGCTGTGCGCTGCCCATGGAGTCGGGGATGACAGTGGCATGCTGGACTGAGGTGTGGGTGAGCTGCTGCCAGGCTGGGGGGAGCAGGATCTGCTGGGTGCCGCTGGGCCAGGCCTGCTTAGTGGGGAGGACACAGAGAGGGGGGGGGAGAAAAGAAATTCAAGTCAGAGAGGAAAAAAAAAACTGTCAACTGCTACAAAACAAAGCATCCAAAATATGAATTTGTTTTATGAAGTCTGTGAATGAAAATGGCTGAACAATTAATAATGGAAGGATTATAAGTGGACTGTGTGACACCCCAAAATAATATAATATGGCTTCTTTAAAATTAGGAAATGTTCTGGTATATGGATATTTTTCCTCAGTATATTGGACTATATTATTGTAATGTGTAGGATGACCTTATATATAACCCGTCTTTTATTTGATTTTTGTTATACCTGTGTTATTTACGTTCTCAGTGTTATTATTGATTTGATTTCTATACATTTTGAATTTTCGGGATTTGAGAGGTTATACATGTTGTGACCCCTTGTTAAAGAAACTGCTCGTCTAAATTGGAGTACTAATGGATGTAAAGGGGTATGTGAGAAAATAATTAATAAAGAATAAGTAAAAAATAAGTAAAAAATGGCTGAACAAAGGGACGTCTTTTCAGATTAGTTTGACGGTGTTGTGATACATAACAGTATCTTTTATCAAAGTGCATAACAGCTGGTCCTAACCGGCTACCTGGCATACAAAATGAACTCGGCCGGCTTCAAGGAGACATCCATTGACAAAAGAGATAAGACCAGGACTTAATAACGATGTGCTCCTTTCACTGTCTGCATGCATATGAGTGAGTGTACAGTATGTGTGTGTGTTAGCGTGATTATGTGTTTGACTTGAGTCAAATCAGCCTTTGTTCTAATTAAATTCCTGGGCCCATTCAAGCTGCTGTGAAAGAGGCTACTTTGTATTTCTGATGCAGAACAGGAGCAGAATAATATGGCCAGAGATGTGCCAAGACGAGTGTGTGTGCATGCATGCCCAAGCATGTTGGTGCGTCAATGTGTGTGTGTGTGTGTAACCCTAATAGTTTAATGCAGTTCTATTGATTAGCACTTTAATGTCAGGGCTAATGAATTGTTCCTTTAATACCGTTTGCACATCTATTAACAACGGCATCAGTATGTACTGCGGCACACACGTTTAAATAGAGGGAGAGGGAAACGAATAATCTGTGCATACGCTACGCTGACTTTGTATTTACCTTTATCTTTTAACTTTATCTTAACCTTCATCTCTGTATTCACATATTTGCTTTGCCCTGTCTGTTTTTATTATATTCAGACACAACGTAGCTGCTCTGTTCTGTATTCTGGCTGCAGGCTTGTGGAAGTTGGATTGTTTTTTGTTTGCGTGAGGCAGGTTGCAGAGCCCAAAGCAACCGTCCTGTGGTTAGAGTGCTTCAGGGGGCATCTGCCGGCCAGCAGCACCGCCTTGTCTTTGGGCTGATGACTGACATCTCTAATGGAACATTCTGGAGCTGGAGACGTTCTTTACATCTAAGACCACATCCAAGGCCTTTTATCAACATGCCATTAAGAGAGTGTAATACATCCATCCATCTCTCGCGTCTCCTCCTCCCGCCCGCTCTATCTCCATTCCCGGCACTCTACATGCCTCTCTCTCTCTGGGCGTCTGCGTTGTGTAACCAGCCTGTCTGCCCTGAAATGGTAACCCAGTTATGAGGCCGTTTTTCTTTCTTCTCAGAGTACACCATCACTATCAGCCGGCCCACCACCTCCCACCTCGACCTACACTCCCCGGGTGAAAAACCCTTTGTCACCTCGGGGTTTTGAAAGCCCCAGCTCTCACTCCCCAATTGTTTCCACATTTTCTGCATTCCTGTTCTAGATAAAGGTCCTGCTGGTCTCCCTGCCTGCATGCTTCACTTTGCCCCCTCTCTTTACACCCAGGAAGCTCGGGGGCTAACCATGCATGGGTCCGAGATGTGTGAAGGGTGTATGTGCGGCAGCCGGTGAGGAGAATAAACCCAAGACGAGTATTTGAGACCTCCCACCGTAAAGGAAAAAACACACACGGTGTTATTAGGTGTGCTGCTCGTTGGCCCATATAAACCATCTGCTTTTGTTCACTATTGCCTGTCTTTGTACTGAGGTGAAATCCTGCAGCAACGTGTGATCTGATGGATCCATCCCATCCATGGATCTGGTGGTGTTGTTGTTAATTATCTGGTCATGCAGAGCGTCATCCTGACCTCCCAGAATCCTCTGAGGCCTGTAATTTGGAGCGCCTGACTTGGAAGCAGCCCTGGAGCTAATCACCATTTGGTATCTGACAGATTAACCCACCATAGAAACACAGGCGTGCAACACACACACACACACGCACGCACGCACACACACCCACACCCACACGCACCCACCCACACACACACACACACACACACACACACACACACACACACACACACACACACACACACACACACACACACACACACACACACACACACACACACACACACACACACACACACACACACACACACACACACACACACACACAGAGATCTGTGCTGCCTGTCTGCCTGCCTACTGCATGATTAACTGGAGATAAGGGAGTGCTTGAAACTCCCTGGATTCACAGGGATATTTAAAGCCTTCATGGAAATTTCCATAGGGAGAGAGGTGCCGTGGTGATGGAAGTGGTCCTCAGTGTGTGTGTGTGTGTGTGCGTGTGTGTGTGTGTGTGTGTGTGTGTGTGTGTGTGTGTGTGTGTGTGCGTGTGTGCGTGCGTGCGTGCGTGCGTGCGTGCGTGCGTGCGTGCGTGCGTGCGTGCGTGCGTGCGTGCGTGCGTGCGTGCGTGCGTGTGCAGGGAGAGTGATGCACAGTCACTCTCTGTTACTTCCAACAACTGTACATTAGCAGCTAAAGCTCGGGCCCCACTGTGCAGGCTCCAGTGAAGGCCTTCTCTGTGTGAAATGCTCCTGCCTTTGTGTGCATCAGACCGTGGCAGCCTCAGCCTCAAGGAGAGCGGGACAGCAGAGAGAGAGAGAGAGAGAGAGAGAGAGAGAGAGAGAGAGAGAGAGAGAGAGAGAGAGAGAGAGAGAGAGAGAGAGAGAGAGAGGTAGGGAGCAATGCACAGGAGAGCTTGGCCTGAATGAGCTCAGGAAAAAAAAAACTGCTGCCAGCAAGTGCAGGGTCACGAACATTGAGTGATTTCCAGCCTCCATCGATATAACTATTCTTAGTGAGGGTTATGAAAAAAAGAAAAAAGGATGCAGGGAGCTTTGTTTGAATGTGGGCTCCAAATGGGACAGGCACTGTTATTGTTCAGCCAAAAAACTCTATTATTTCTCCCCTGTGATACTTTTCCTACCTGTGTCAGCAGGCCAGGTTGGATCTGCAGAGGCTGGGCACCAGGGGCCTGCGTCACTATGGGAACAGCATTCTCCATCCGCACAGAGTAACTGGTGTGCTTGGAAGGGGACGCCTGCAGCCCTGTGCGCAAATAAAGCACATGTACAGAGGATGTCAACAAATAGGTGCAGCACTGATAAACAACACTGCAAAATGAAGAGCGAGAGATCACTGTTTTATATGCACACGGATTTATGTGGATTCAACAGATGTCAAAACCCTCTACTGTGTACTTCGGATATAGCAACAGTACTTGGGGAAAATAAAAAACAGTAGTCATGGCAATAGGCAATAGTACAACAACAGTTCTAATAATGGATATTTTATAACCCATTCCACAAAAAGAATGAATAAACAAACAGAATAATGCCTCGGAGCTTTCCCGCCCTCCCAGTGCAAACACAGAGGAGACAAAAGCGTGGTGAGTAAGCCTTGCACAAAGATATTACATTTCCTTTCAAATGATTAATTGCCTCATCAAGTTATCATTGAATCATTGTTTGTATGCCACGATTGACTACCTGTGGGCTAAAGCTGCAAAACAAAACAGCAAAAATGCAAGAACAGGAGAACTGTCTGTGCATGGAGAATTTAAAAAGACTCCAGTGATGTAAATCTGGTACATTATTATAAAAAAAAATGCTGAATAGGTGAGTTCCATCTCTTATTAATCAATTTATTGAACATGTTAAAAACAAAACAAACGATAATAATAATTATAATTATAACAAAGAGAAGCAAAATAAAAAAACGTTCAAGGTATACAAATGTAAAAAATAAATTCTCAAATAGTTTCCGTCATGTTCAAAAGGGGCAAGAAGAAGCTTAAAAATGTTTCTGGTCCTACCCCCGTCTAGCGTACATTGTTCATGAAAATAAAAGTTTAGGTCATCGTCATCAGCAACCGTGATATTTGATTCATTGTTTTAAACAAATCATTTCTTTGTACAAAACAACCAAAAACAAATAACTTTTACAACGACAAGAAATAGCAAGCAGGAGTTCACAGGTCCTGCTCATAACCATTCAGGATTTGGTTTCTAAATAGTTGTTTTAGTTTAGATAAAGTTGCACAGTATTTCAGCTCATCATTACAGTTATTCCACAGATGAACACCTTTTGTTGTGATGCAATGAATTATCATGGTCTGTTCTATTACAACACACTTGCTGGTATCTTATATTTTGCACAGATGACCATTAATCCCACTCTTCACACTAATGCAGGGGTGTCCAAACTTTTTTCACCGAGGGCCACATACAGAAAAACATACGAAGGGCTGGGCCACTCACTCGAGGTATATTGCCACATAAGTGAAGTTATAAGTTAGGAAAATCAATCAAATGTAGGAAAATGATGCTTGTGAGTGTTATCCCTTAAAACAGAAGCCTCAGATTGATTATAATAAGGAGAAATAGGAAGGGTGTATTTCAAGCTTGCTATGTAAACAAGGGCTTTTTTCTTATCAACAAGATATGTTAGAAAATGTTTCCAACTTTAATTGACTGAATTTATTTGTAAAGTGGGCTTATTAACACATGAATACTACTGTGTAATATATGTTTACATTTATATTTAAGAAGTACAATATAAGACAAGCACAAGTTTCATTTGTGGGCCATATTCCATTATACCTTTTGAATTTGTTGAGGCCCGCGGGCCACATTTGGCCCCCGGGCCGTAGTTTGGACACCCCTGCTTTACACTAATGCGTACTGATTGGTCAGATCCTCTTACCTTGGAAGCCAGGTGGGCAGACGATGAGCGCCTGCTGGAAGGGGTCGGGCCGGGCGGTGCAGAGCTGAGGCCCCCCCGGCTGCAGGGGCATGCTCCTCTGGGCCACGGCCGCCATGGAGGCAGCGGAGGGCTGGTAGAGTGCAGATTGGTAGTTTAGTATGGAGACATCAGGACTTGCAAAGGAAAGGGTGGCATTGTTGGTGGAGGAGGGAACCAGGTTGGTGGCCTAAAGGAATGATGGGATCAAAATAAAAATCATGAGAGTGGAGGTACTGATGGGAAATACCAGGGAAGTGGGGGTTCGCCGGGGGGGGTGTTGAACAGCAGGCATGGTAAAGAACAGAAAGATAACAGTATTCTGAGAAAATAATGCAAATAAAGCATAAAGGTATCTGGGTGGGTTTTTGTTTGCATGTATGTATGTATGTATGAGTGGGGATGCAATATTATTTATTCTGTGTGGTTCTTTAATTATTGTATTTATATTTCATATATATACATTTGATGTATTTTCATTTTTTATTTGTATTAAAAAATAAAAAGTGGAGCAAGTGGAATGTTGTGTCATGTAGAAAATGTGTTTTCAAACCCCAACTCAAAATACAATTATACAATTATGCAAAAAACCCATAAAGACGCAATATTATTTGATGACAACCATTTTCTTCAACTTTGTAGTTCTTTAATTATTGTAATTATTATTAGCGTTTCATATATATAAATTTGATGTAAGTTAATATATTTTATAAACATTTTTTTGGAGCAAGTTAAATGTTGTGTCATGTAGAAAATGTGAATTGAAACCCCCACTCAAAATACAAATATACAAAAAAAGATAACACACATATAAAGATGCAGAACAAGCCTCGGATCAAGATCAGATGGGTGGAGGGGCATCCATCATTAATGGGAGCTAATGGAGGAATAAGGAAATTGGACTACTGATTTGAAAGCATCTTAAAATATGCACACTGTTGATTTGATTGATTAGAGGGAGGCAGAGAATGTGAGGAGAGATGCAATCAATGCTTAGAATAATCAACCGTCAATGAGGGAAATGCCAACGGAGCACATTTAGACTTAGATTCTGATCATCTTGTATCATTTATCAGCGTTTTTACTGGCAAACAAAACTTCTTATTTAGACTATAATGATGACACTATACTGAGTATTACTCAAAGGCACATCATTCATTCAACCACACAGCAGCAATCAGTGTGTAAAGTCATAAAGAGATCATATTATAAGACCATTTAAATGTTACAGATTCATAATGAACCAAGATAACGAGCTGCAGCGAAACTTGACATTTAATGCCACGGCTTCACTATCTAGCCTCCAAATCAATACGTCTGACTGAAGTTATATTTCCCCTTAACTGTCACTCTCTAATTATGTAAGCTTAGGTAACTGCCGCATGTCTTGACCAGTAATAAGACATACTCAGACAGCCTGGGAACATCCTGGAAACAAACAAATGCTTTTAAGAGAGACACCGTTTGCTCGTAAGTAGTATTTGCTCTACAAGACGCTGTCTAATTTTAGCCCTTTCATTAAGCGTACACAGGGGCGGAGGGAAACACAGAGACAGCGCTTCCATTTTTCATTTGCTCTCTTTAGCGTGTTCGATGAACACCAGGGGAGGGAACATAATCAATATGCCACTGTGGCATTCATCATAAACAAGCACGGAAGCAGCAAAACACACGGCAGAGATGCATTCCAGCCTTGCAAATGAATCGCGCTGAATAAATCACTAACTTAAGTCTGTCTATATGCCCTGAGAGCCGGGCGCGGAAAAATACAAGCAGAGGGAATGTTAATCCATTTAAATCACAGCAAGATGGGGGTTTTTGTCGCATGCTACACAGTGTGAGCCGGCTCGATATAGTTGGTGATAAAGAACTCTGTTTACTGAATAAGAGGGGCGGGAGGAGGGGAAGAGAGCGGGATTTGTAACTAAGCACAATCTGGAAAACCTTGCAACACGACGCTCCGTGATTCCGGCGTAAGCCAGCAGTCAGCAATTTCGATTCACAAGACCGTACGGGAAAGAAAACGGTAAAGCACCACAGGCTCAACCCGAGGAAACGGGAGGAAAGAGGAGAAGACAGAGGAGGACAGGAGTGAGAGGAGGGGAAAAGAGAGGAAGCCTGGAGAAGGGATTCTTAAGGCCTGAAAGCCCCAGAATGCAAGGCAAGCAGGAAGTGGGGCTTGTCATGTGTGTAATCAGCACTTTGTGACAATCCCACAGGACCTGGGGCACAGACAGAAATGCAGGCAGACAGATATCCATGCACCTAGGCAGAAAGGCAGGCGAGTAAGAATGGAAACGTGCAGACAGACAGGAAAAAACATCCACTAAAGAAAAAGAACAAAGAAACAAGCAGGCGCTCATGGGCTGCTGAGCTGGTAAACTACTGACAGTTGGGCGTTTAAAATACGATTATTTGGTTAAGACAGCATTTGACTGGGCGTGTAAGCAAGACGCATCTTTCCTATTGTTGCTCGAGGCTTTCAGCTTTAATTATCCATTGTGATACATATACACGATAAATATTCCACTTCTCATGTCTTTTTTTTCAATGGAAACGCCGTAAACCATAGTTAAATTAATTAGCATCTCGCAGCATAAAAGTTCTCCATCAGCATACTGATGAAGGAGGCGTTACCTGGCTGTGCACAGTGTTCAGCTGGTTGTTGAAGGTCATGGTGAGGTTGGTGGAGGTGCTGGGGGCCAGGTGGGTGATAAAGGGCGTCTTGCTCTGGTTGACCGGGTCGTACATGTTGACGCGACGCTTACAGATCTCCATGTTTTGGAAGCACGACTTCACACTGTACAGGGAGGGAGACAGAATGAGTGCTGCGACAGTGTCATAATCAGAGGTGGGAAGTAGTGGAGTACAAATACTTCGTTACTGTACTTAAGTACATTTTTCTGGTATCAGTACTTTACTCCACTACTTATTTTTCTGACGACTTTTTACTTTTACTTCTTACATTTTTAACACAAATACCTGTACTTTCTACTTCTTACATTTTCAAAACAGGTTTGTTAGTTTAGTTTTAATCAGTTTGGTGGCGTGATCATTATTATTTAGAGTCATTGCGTGCCTATTGATTTTAACACGATCCATCATTTCCTGGTCTACTCTAAAGAAGAGGGACCAATGAGAACTCGGCTTGAGTCTATTCCCATCATCCTCTGAACCAGAAGCAAAGTAGCCCACTTAGTTTGTCTTTGCTTGTGTTCTAAATGGTTGTTGTTCAGTGTTGAAACATTCATTAGCTAACAATGACATAATTACAATTTGAAATAGAAGATCTTTATTGTTCTATTAATATAAAGTGAGGTCAGTTACTCTATAAAACAGTAGGTAGTTATGGGTACTTTTTACTTAAGTACATTTCGAAGCCCATACTTCTTTACTTTTACTTTTATTTTTAAACACGAGTATCTGTACTTCTGGATGTGTGTACTTTTGCCATCTCTGGTCAAAATTCACTGTTCAAATGATTAATAAAGAAACAAGAGGCACGTACTGTGTGCTGTGGGGGAAATCGAGGAGGTGCGTCATGGTGACAAAGGGGTGGTTGAGCGTTTCGATAGGAGTGATCCTCTTGTCCGCGTCGATGGTCAGCATCTTGGTTAACAAGTCGATGAACTCCCTCCTGTCGGCCTTCTCCGCCAGCATTTCGCTCCCCTCAAGGTCCGACGTCATGTTCACCTGAAACAGACACAAGCATCTTAGCATAATGACCCATTCAAGGTCTCTAATAAATCTCATGTATAAATGTATTTGCCGGCTTAATGACTCTGATAATGAAATCCTCTTGGCCTTATCAAACATAAGGTACACGCTACCAATCACAGCTGTGGAGACATTGGTATAGTTGTCTCTTTGTAGGACACTGATTTAAATTATTCTTAAACTATGAATTGTTTTTATGCTGTGTATGTAATTTATTATATGTAATGCCTTGTCTTTTATCTGGACCCTGAGTCTGTAATAAAGTTTTCATTCATTCTAATGTTTTGAGAAAAAATTCCCCCACAGCTCATTCCCATAGAGAGGCATATTAATACTTCATCAGTTAGGGTGCCAGTGTGAGTGTCACAGTGATAACCTTGCACCTTAGTGACATTTTAAACATTTGCACTGGTATTTATAGAGCCACTTGAAATATCTCCTGGCGCCTTCGTCGAGATTTTAATCTATTCCTGAGATGCGAAAACAAACAAAAAACATGGACGCAATAAATGCTGCACTTGGCTAAGTTCACAAAGGACCATTTTGTGAGAGCCTCAGAGAAAAACTGACATGAGGCAACCTTAATATATTTTGAAGTAACATGTAACATGTAACATGTAATGAAGAGGTTCTGGGAAGCTGCCTTGGAACACATCTGTATTAGACATTGCCGCTAAGGATGTGGATAAATACTGGGCACAGCAGCAGATTTCTCTTATGAAAAGCTACAAAACTGTTGATTTTTTTATTTGAGCAGGGTTTACTTATACATGTGGAGTAAAGAATGAAGGGAGTGAGACAAGGTCGTGATATAGCTAGTATGAGTTTGAGCAAACAAGTAGATTGTCAGGCAGAGCCAGGGCAGAGACAGGGACAGTTGCAACAGAAAGGCAGCCTTGTTTATTGTGACTGCCATGCAGCGGGAGCAGGCCTGTTTTTAATAAAGACGCAGCGCTTATCTGTAGGCCTGCTCCAGGGGCTATCAGATGTGCTGCCAGTCAACACCGCACATCTGATTCAATTATCTTCCTCTATGCAGGTTATTCAGGCTCTGTAGCCATTCCTCTCTGCTTGCCACCTCCACTGGCTGTGATAAAGGAATAATGTGCCGAGTGAGGTGAGAAATAATCACATCGTCCTCTGCTAGTGGAAGAGATGACTTTGGGAAATGTACACAGTTTGGTTGGCACATGCATAGCATTTGGGAGGCGTGCCACAATAACCCAGGCTGAATAAGAAGTAGCCCCATCATTTTCCTATCATCCATTTAATTAAGATATGTGAATATACTAGATAGGAAATGCATGTCCCGTGCTTCATTTTCTCTCAATAACAGCAACATTTGACATTTTCTAATCTTGGCTTGAAATTAAAACGGTCACTAAGACAAGAGGCTTCGAATAACATGGTCAGCCTTGCGTGCTTTGCATGTCAACGGCTGTTTATGGAGCCACATCTGTGCCGTGGGGAGCGCTGACATGCCACTCTGGAGTAAGGGCAGGCATGGCAGATGTCGAGCAGTGAGACAGATCGGGCTACGCCTCGGGAGATGAGGGCTATGCAGGCAGGATGCAGGCCTGTCTCCTGCACAACAATATGACGTGTGCAATAAACTCGACTTTTCAGCAGGAAGAGAAGTAGAAGAGAGGAAAAGTGCATTTTTAAGTGCATGTAATAAAAGAAAGATAAGGTGCTGCTCCTCCTGCCGTGCCTTCACTCCTATCAACAGAGATATTGAAGGATTGCAGATCAAAGTGAATCCATTTTCCAAGTCGGCCGTCTACACCAGGCCTGCAGCGGGGTCCTGCATTTGCTCTAAGTTGGTCTCTGATTTACTCAAATTAGATATACTTGTGACTAAAGCCTCCCCACATTGCCTACGACTGAGAGGAGATTCATTATCTCTTCCTGGCACCCAGCCTCTGTGTCTTTTAGGGCCTTCAGCTACATCATCCATTATACACGCGGAGACAGATGTCCACAATGCTGACTTGTTTATATACGGTCGGGATGGTGAGATAGGGCAAAATAGGCAGTTTTCTCCCACATTCTTACAGCTCTGCTATGTGTTTTCGTATGGAGTCTGGATGCAGCAGCGAGAGGAAGATGGGACTCGGTGCTTGAAGCGTAGGAGACAGAGATGACCCAGGGGATATTATACCGGTGCAGGTTGGTTTCATTAAAGTCTGTGCTGCCTGTGTGTGTGTGCTAACTGTAAACGCAACAAGCCCAGGCAGCGATGCTATCTTGTCCCAGCCGACAGCATGTTATTCCAGACAGGCCTGACAACGGCCCTGGGCGCTACTGGACAACCATAATTGTCTCTGTCACTTAAGTCTCTCCGTCCACTGTGTATCCACATGGACAGGCCTGGTTGCATATGACCATATTCCAAAAGAAGTAATTAACCTGCTTAGCTCTGATCTCTTGGTGCGTCATTATCAGAGGTATGATCGAGGTGCACGATGACAAGAGAGTACTGTCACAGATTTCGAAAAAGGCCCTGGGAAAAAAACATTGTAATTTTCCATCACTGCCGCCATATCTGCCAGCAGGACCAGTATTTGGCTGAGTGAGGGTGGACAAAACAAGACTCGCTATCATCTCCCCTGTCAGCCGCGTCCTATCAAAATGTCATGGCTACCTGTGAACTTTCCCACCGTTGTGGAGGGATGAATTCAAACGGAGTCATAGAGGAAAGTGACATTACATGTAGCCGTGTTCGTGAGATATTTTCCATATAAAAGTGTGCTATATAGGGCACTCTGAGTGGTTCTCAAAGTGGGGTCAGGGGCACTCTGCCATGGACAAAATTCAGAAAAGGCTTCATTGCACAACTTTTTTTTTGTAAAGGTTTGAGTCTAAAAAACTTAACAGATCACATCCTTATCCTATAAATTGTATATTATTTCAAATACTTTAATGAGAAACTGTGTTAATGTATGCACTAAGACAAAAACACTTATTTTGACATTATTATAAATACATTTTAAATTAGTCTATATTTGTCTATTAAATGTTCTTTTGGTAAAGTGTTACTTGCAGCTATATTAATTAATGTAAGTGCATTGTTTTATGGGTATTCTGTGTTGAAATAGTTCACATATATTGACTACATCAGATCTAATATCTTTCTCTCACATTTCAATTGTGTTGTTCTTTCACATAAACAAGAATGTGCAAGAGTAAGGGGCCTTTGGCAATTAAAAAAACCCACTTCTAAACAAACAGATTCCCAGAGGTGACATGCAGGGCTGTAGGGAGAGAGTAGCTAAACAGCTGAGTCATGAAGACACAATATGGTGCTGGTCCCACTGAGCTGATCTAAGAAACTGGGGATGTGTGTGTTTCTGTTTTAAGAAAGGGTGGGGGGTAAATCATTTTGTACAGTTGCCCTCTTCATGTACTATAAACGTACAAACTGAAGACCTAGCCACAACACTCACTCCAGCATGAAAAAGAAAAGCAAACTTTACATCGACGTTAACCACCCTCACCACATGTTCGGCTCAAATGTCTGTCTGTAACTTATTAGACAGCAGTGGAGCAAAATGAAGAGAAGCCAGAGGCAGAGTTGAGGAGGAGTTTCAGTGAACAGCTGTTTTCATTTCACCCTGTAAAGTTCCATATAGGAGCCGAGCTACGACGCATCTGGAGATCAGGCCTTGGCAGGATAAATAGTTTAAAGAGTTTCAAATATTTGATAGATAATTCTCGGGATGTGATGGATCAAACCAGCCCTGAGAAGACCCAGCAGTGGAGCTTCAATTGCCAGAACAGGTGTATTTGATTCAAGCAAAAGACAAATATTGTACAAATGGTAGGGAAAAGAGAGTAATGCTCTCTGAATTAGCATACCTGCGCCATATCATCCAAGCAGTTGAAGATGTACTTGCGAGCCTCCTTGGACTTGATCCCCGTTTCACCCTCGTGGTCCTCTTGAATCTGCGGGAGACAAGAAGCAGATGTTCCTCTCAGATCCCATCACACTTCCCCTCTGGAAACACACTATTTACATTTGGCTCATTACAGCCTCTTGTTGGTGATATGCAGCAGGACTCCGCTTGCCCTCTGAGCAACCCTGGGGTAGCACACAAACACTCATCTAGCAGCCGGGGGGACGGCATGCAGAGGCACACACTACATCACTGAGACAATATACAACATATAAACTTCACTCCACACGCGTGTTTCAAACACCTGGACACGCGTTAAAGTAAACTGTGTGAAAGTGCACGGACCAGTATAAACACATGCGATCATTCTTTTTCAAAGGATTTTCAAATGTAAACAAAACTAATCTGTGTTGACTATAGAAACCTCCTGACTGAACACATGATATTTTTTAATTATAGTCAGCAAAGACATGCAGCTGCCATTACGTGGAAACATATGGCAAGGTCGAATTAAAGCTGAGCAATCACTCTTCAGAGTGGAAAAGAGTGGTCAGGATGGCTTCATGTTTAATTTTCCACATGCCAAAGACAGAGACGTTACAGCAGCGGTGTCAAGAAGAGCTAATAATCTGTCCCTGTGTCAGTTCTGCTGTCAGCTCATATCTTCTGTAACTCAGAAACCCCCTTATTAAAGAACAATGTGTTTTAAAAAGGACTTTCTATCCATAAGGTCATACTTTTTTCACAGAGAAATTCTTAAAGGGACAGTTCAATCAAAAATCAAAAATACATATTTTCCTTTTTACCTGTAGGGCTATATATCAATCATAATAGTTGTATTACCTTTTTGTAAGCAGTTTCACGTAGGGAATATTTTCCCTCTACTTAACTAAACCTGTATCAGCGCACATCAAGCTAGCTAGCTAAATAACTGTACAGCTCTGCCAAGGAGGATTGCATTCATATTTGAACCTCACGCTTTCATTAGCACAAGCCTCTAGGCATTGAGTTAATGTACGCTTCCTTCTTAATAGGTGATCAGTTGGCAGGTGTTGTAAGGCAGAAAGAAAATAGTTCCTACATGTAACTGCGCACAACAACGTCTGTGTTTTATCTTGAGTAACCGGGTCATGATTTCTGTAAAGAGATATTGCTTTTGCGTTTTTCAAATGTATTTTTTGAGCACCACAAGCTGAATGCCATCTAGTCTAATTATATTCTAAAGAAAGCAGACTTTTCATATATCCCCAGCACTCACACAAAACAAACTAGATTAGTAAGTAGCACTAAAATTAGGAGAAAGAAATGTATTTCGGATTAGGTGTGAACTGTCCCTTTAAATTTGCATGCAAAGGCTTCACAACATTTACTTGACAACTGCTAAAAGCCTATGTGCAGCTGACTTAAGGGCATGTACACTATGTACTCTATGTTGCTTTATGTCTTCATTTCAAGGCCCTTATCATCATCAGTGTTGTCAGTTTGGTATGTCACTGGGATTCATGAAAAAACTAAGGCACTCGTCTCTTCTCCTAGACACGATATAACATCACTCTAGAGCTGGATTAGTATTTTTGTGTAATTCAATCCAAAACTTAGTGAGTAACAAAAGTTGAACTTGAGTTAATGAGGGTAAAAAAAGTAAAAAAAGTGGACCTGCTTACCGAGTGGCCTACATGGAGGGACATTGGGAAGAGTTAGAGCAGACACACTGGGAGCTGGATTCATCCGGCAGGGCTTCCATTTGCCAAATCCTCAGATAAATGTTTCCTTCATTACCCTCTGACTTTGCTTATAACCAGGGTCATCACATCTCCTGCTCTTTAAAGGATGCTGTTGATGCTACCTGGAAGTAATTGCTTTGTTAGTGTCTATCATTCAAGCCGTACCTTAAGTCTCCAGAGAGGATAGGTGGAGTCGGGGTCTCTGTTGAAGAACCTGGTGGTCTTTGTCCCCGCACTCAACAGATACTCCGCAGGCAGACCCTGTGTCTGTGAGATGTATCGGATCTGCAAAACAGTAGATGAAACAATGTAATTTGGGACTTTTCCCCTCATATGCATGATTGAACCATCAGGAGCATTACATTAAGGAGCATAGTTATTCTTCCCAGTGACAAAAAGAGATACACTTTAGGATGGAGCTTTTTCTGGCAGATTGAAAATCCAGGCTGACATTAACTACTCCAGACTTATCCGGCTGCAATATGCGCAGCACCCAAACATGACCTCAGCTGAAGAGTTTAAGATTGATTTGAGACTTGTAAATGAGACACTTTTTGGGAAAAAATCAGGCGAGCTTGTTCAGTGATGGAGCACAACTTGCTCAAGGTTTTCCCACGGAGCCTCATCTGACTGATAGAGAAGGGGGAACGCGGCGATGTCTTGCTCTGGAGCACAGGGGCTGCGCTAATTGGACAAGTGGCTCTGTGGCATCTGTTCAGATAAATATGGAGGCTGCGCAAGAATCATCAGGGCCTGTCAGGGGGATTCAGAGAAGCATCCCACCCTCCCAAACACACTTGTGAGTGCACACTTGCGAGGAGAGAACACACACATGAACACAAGTGACCGTGAAGGAAGCGGTTTGGAGGAACAAGCTGCAATCGTATGTTACCTGATCGTACTCTGAGGCTCCGGGGTAGAGGGGCCATCCCAGGAAGAGCTCCGCTATCACACAGCCCAGGGACCACATGTCTATGGCCTCAAAGAACGGCAGGCCCAGGATGATCTCTGGAGCCCTGAGGATACACAAAACGCACAAAATGGTTAGAAATCTCACATAAACTGATGTGGCGGTGGAATGTAACAAAGTGCATTTACTCAAGAATTGTACTTTCAATATATTTGTACTTAATTTTTTATTTATTCTCCTACGTTTAAAAAGGGGAATAATGTACTTTTCACGACATCTATTTGACACTTCTCATACAAACAACACTTAACGAACAACGATATATATTAACCAGGTGTTTTGGCTCACATTTTTACCTGTTCAAATAAAAATAAACATTTCCAAAATTCTCAAAACTTGTATTCACAAATGTGTTTAATTATTTGCTTAGTGTGTCAAATGTGACTGACAAAGACATACAAAAATGAGACATACTTTTATAACTGCCATAACATTTCCAATTTCAATATAAGTCCCATGCTCAAAGGCCTGGAGCTTTTTTTCATACTTTCTATAAGATCAAAAGCCCAAATAATCTTGTTGTATATGTAGGAGTGAGCTGGAAAATGTAGACAAGTTTTAAGCAACATTCCTGAACCCAAAGCGATACAATTAGACAACATACACAAGAAAGTACACATAGTGCTTTAACACACTTTTCTAGTTTCACTCCAAGACAGACAATCACTCAATCCATTCATCTCCAATGTCTGAAGGCTGTTGTGTTATCTTAACATTGATCTCTCAGGGTAGCCTTGTGGGTTCTTCCATTTTCACATCACTTGTTCAGGCAGTTTTCAAGGTGTCACACTGCAGATGAGTGATTGATAAGCACGCAGGAGCACCAATCAGTGAGACCCATCTCTGGTATTTAGACAAGGGGACTGTGGGGAGGCAGAGGGGTATGTTTACCGAGTTTCACGACCCAGGGCCACAAAGCAATGTGGGAGCAATTAAGCCATGAAAATAAAACCAACGTAAATATTCTGTAGAGCATGCAATGAGCTCCATCCTGCCTTTGAGTTCATAATATCTTTGCCTAATTCCCAGGCTTTTCCCAGTCAAACACACACATACTGTACGTGCAGGGCAGTGAGACATGGAGAGACCATTTCAATGGAAAATGACATAAATATCTATAATTTGAGAAAAAAAAGATGAAATATTGCTTCAGTTATTTGAGCAGCACTGCAGTCCAAGACAATTGCAGACACTCATTCAACATGTTTTATATCCTGTCAGAAAGACTAATACGCTTCTGGTGAGCTCACATCTCTGATGGGGCTTAAAATAAACGAGAACACAGTGACTTTGCTCTCCAACGATGCAAAGCACTTTCAAGAGGTTTTCTGGCTGTCGTCACAATTTGGTTGGCGTTAATTTGAAATGTACCTATAGCTGCAAATAATTGGTATATCCCTCTATCTATAACTTTCATCTAGATTGAACCATTGCAACTGAGGTCATTCTCTTTCTGTTAATAACACGTCTACAGCACACAGGATCTTAAAGCTGATCTTGGGAAAGTTTCTCATTCATGGCCGAGTTCACTATGATTGGCGTGACCATGGTAACGAGGCTAGCGCTCCCCCTTAAGCCTGGACGGGCTCTGGCAGGGTTTCGGGTCACAGCGAGAGAAACGAAGGGGCCTGGCGTGGATCCCGCTGGAACTGTAGGTACCAGGGAAACAGAGAATGTGGAAAACAGCATGAGGGGACGCTATAGGACTTTATATGCCTGTAGGGGGGGCCATGGGTGAGCGCTCTGAGGGCTTGGAGGAGAATGAATGAACATACTTCGCATACTTAAAAGCTAATTTCCAACTGTAGCTCCCTGCCCTCTATTCACTGCTCCCTGACAAAAAAAGAAAAGCGAAAGAGGGCACATTCACCGTACACCGAGTATTATAGAAAAGCAGAAAACGATAGAGGATGATATTCTGCGTAAAAAAGTGGAAGAGAGTTCAAGAGCTCAGTGAAGAGCTCCTGTCACAGAAGGTGGTTATTGGGGTCTCGAGGGCAGCAGGGAACAGACACCAAGACAACACCCTAGCAACAGTATCGTAGGGCACCATTACACACCGATACAAAGACACCTTCACACACAATGAGCCGAGACGTCTATCAAGAGCCTGCCAAAGAGGGATAAAGGAGTCTGCTAGGAGGTGATAACAGCGGGAACAGTGAGGTCTGATGAAGGTAGGAGAGACAAGAGATGGACACCAAGACTGAGGTCAGCATGATCCCCTCTAACAGCCTGTTAGAATGGCTGGAGATTCACTGCAGATGTCACATGTGACACAGTGAGGCAAGAACACTGGGAATATTTTAAGTTAAAACTTCCAGAAGGTTGTGTGCCCCTTTTAATTTCAGCAAGAGACTCGCTCAATCAAACTTTTGGTAGCCAGCACATGTTCATTAACACACTTAGCTTTCCTGTAATCCAGCATTGCTTATTAGACAAAAGTCAATTTAAATGGGCCCTATTATGCGTTTCACTTTCCTGTATTGTGTTATATAGGATTCTGTGCATGTTAATTGGTCTGCAAAGGCTACAATTCCAAAGTTCCCTCCAGAGGGAATTTCTCTCCCACTGCCTGAAACACTTCGATTAGACTCCTTTGTTTACTTCTGTAACATAGTGACATGACCACATCACCCTCAAGCTTCTATTGGCTAGAAAAGAGGTGCTGCAGAACAGGCAGTATGAGAAAAATAAAGAGCTTTTTGAACATTAAAGCATGTAAAAATGTCACAGTACAGGAACAAAATACATTTACTAAACCTGAACATTTGCGTAATAGGGCCCCTTTAAAGTTCTTAGCAACTGGAGTCAAATCACTCTAACACAACAAAAGAAAAAATCATATTGACAAAATCTCCTTTATATCGACTGAACGATAGACAGAGGTTTGTGTTCTATTTATATATTCAAATATCAGTGTTTGTACTTTCAACTCTTTGCATTTGCCGTCTGTGCTTACGTTGAAAATAGAAACAAGCAGCACTCAATCACCCTGTAACAGATATTGTGTTTTCTACCTCTGCAATTCTTTTTAAAGTATAATGAAACCAATACAGTGCGGCAGCGCAGCAGTTCTGTGTTCCATTTGTCAACTAAATAGGATTCATTCCGACACAAAACACTTAACATATACAGTATATCCCCTTTTTTTTGTGAGGGTGAGTTCTCCAAAAACATCCTTTGACTTTGAGAAAGGCACATTATATATAAGGGAATTGCAAGTTGCAAAAAGCGAAGGGTGTTCTAACAACATGAGGTTTTTTCTTTTTGATTGGGTTGCATGGAAATTCCTCCCATCAGAACGCATTGTGGAGATGAAAGCCACAGGAAACCCTTTCATGAGATGTTCCTCCAGATCACTGTGACTCCAACGAACACATGCGGACCCAAAGACCTTCAACCTTCCCTCTTTCCTTTTTTCCTTTTACCAAGACACTGAACTAAGTCACTTCAAACATCAGTCCCCATCATGGCATGTACTGTAACTCATACTCACCGACAGGCAACAAACTGAATAACTGTGCCTCATTTGATGCCAAAGAAAGGTGGCTTTCATAACAGCCAACTTCAACAAAATGTGCCTTCATTCGAGACAAATGAGTGCATGGCCTTCAGCTTTAGAGCCATATTTCTATGCATGTGTATAGCTCTGTGCCACTTTGCCCTTGAGTGTGATGGAGAGATTTGCTCGTGTTGATGTTATGCTTGGATCCGTTTCAGCCTGAACTTTCCTGGGTTATGCTCCAGTGCTCTACTTAGGCTGTCCTCATGGCTCCTCTGCCTCTCACAGAAAGATCCTCCCGTTCAGCGAAAGACAGAGAGAGAGCAAGAGAAAAGGGAAGGTAAGGGAGGAAGAAAGGGAGAGGTGGTGCTCATGATATGAAACCACAAATGCAAATCTGGCCCTACCAACGCACCGCTGCCATCGCATGCAAAGCACCTCACAGCTGCTGCTGATGCAGACCTTTCACTGGCAGTGATAAACAGCACACACATCTGCGCAGCTCACAGACCTCGCTCCTTTTCCCGCCCTTTTCCCTCTCTAAAGTAGCAGATGATATGAGATTGGCAATTTATGCAGATCGGACCATTTCAATTTTGTATATGCTAAACTGGATGCAACAGTTTGTTTCTATGAAAGGTTAAGGACTGTGAATGAGCAGCCAGGTGTTTAGTGGTTGGCTTTTTGGTTAACAGATTTCTGGGGTGTTTATAAAGCACTTCGAAACAAAAAAGGATACCAGAAAAATATTGTCTTACTCTAAGCCAATAGGAAATTGTGTTTTTAACATGTCTAAGAATCTTGCCAGTGGCTTTGGCACAGCGGTTCTTTTGGGTTCTTTTAACTTTCAATAAATGATTGTCCGTACCAAATTTCATGGTTATCCAACTGATTGTTTACACAGCACACAGGTAGATTCCCATCATATCAAAATATAAAGAGCAAAACACGCACTGAAGGATTTTCTCTATGGAAAATGTGTTTTTTACACTTTTGTCCTGACTGGCTTAGGCAATAGTTCAAAGTGGTTCATCCAATTACCTGCCAAGCATTTTTTGAAAGTGCTTGCCCTTCAACCAACAGTCTCCAATGGCAGCTTCTTAGATGGCTCTGTGTAACAAACCATCCGGCAGTGTCAGGTAATCAAATATCAACAGTTACCATAAATATGAACCACATGGTGGAGCTGGAGGAAAGATCATGAGCAATCCACACTTCTAAACTACTTTTCGGCCACCTGGTAATCTCTACAATTTGAGGTGCATGGACACACCATCTGAGAGTGCTGCATTCAGCGGAGAGTGCCAATGTATTACCCTTTAAGCTGCACCCCCCACCTAGCTCATCTCCAGTTGGCATGGCTACCACATGAGTACCTCTCGGAGGGTGGTGGTGAGCTTCTCGCTGCAGACCACCGATGTCAAATACAGTACAGACGGTGTGCAAACCACTGGCTAGCCAGAGGCTCAATGGGGACCCAACTGCATGAGAGGCCTCAGTGTTCGGGCTAGTGGCTCTGACAGCACTGGCCCTTGACAAAA